CCAGCCCTTCAGTGTTGTATTTTAAATCCATATGACTGTAATCATCCAGTGAGTAAAGCCCAGAATTTGGGAAACTATAGGCTAAACAAGGTTTCTGTTTCGTTTCCATGTAAGAGGAAGGAAGGAAGGAAGAATAGAATCGGGATGATGAAATGTAAGAAGCAGGTTAGTCAAGAAACGTGTATTTCACGACTGGAACGCAGGCTGAGGATTGGATGCTGGGAAGAGAGCAAGAAGAGTCCCGGGCTGGAGGGCGCGGGCGAGGGAGGCCCGCTGGCCGGGAGAGCTCTGCTTTCCAGGCTGCTCTGTCCTCTTTCCTGATTGCAGGTCTGCCTGCAGTAACCTGTCTCCCGAGTAACCGCGTGGCTGCCGCACCCCTCATTTTACAGAGGTGGGGGACTGTACTTCATCAGAGTGAATTTAAGCAGGAGGATGGAACAGAAGAGAAGGCAGTACGCTAAGCTTTCGGGGAAAGTCAGCTCAGAGGAAGGGAAGGTTCTTTTTGTGTTTTAAATTCCTGTGGCCAAGGGCCAGCAATAGAGCACTGAAAGTGGTACTCTCAACTTGGTGTGGTTGTCAAAGCTGTGGAAAAACAGGAGCTGAGAGCTACACGGGCATACTCAGGGTAGATATTTTCCCTCTTAGTTAAAAGACAAGCTGGGGGTTGGGAGATAGCTCAGTGGTCTAAGTGCCTGCCTGGCAAGCACAAAGTCCCGGGTTCGATCCCTTGTAGCACTGCTGTACCGGCCCCAGAACACCGAGCACAGCATGCCAGCTACCAAAAGTGGACATGGTGGCACACGTGTGTAATTGGGGAGGCTGAGACGAGGATCACTGTGAGTCTGAGCTGCGTAGTGGGACTGTGTATCAAGTAAATAAGTAAAAGCTTATAAAACAAAGAAAGAAGCTGGTAGGGAGCCGTGGTGGCACGCGCCTGTAACCCCAGTCCTAGGGTGGCTGAGGGAAGAGGATTACTGTGAGTTCAAGGCCGGCCTGGGCTGCAAAGAAAGATCTTGTCTCAATAAACAAAAAGCCATAGAGTACCTAACATAATTGGCACAAAGAGCTCAGTATTTACTATTTTTAGCAGAAAAACTACTTTGTATGAACTAGGTAGTTAACATTTCATTGGTGTTACTAGATTCTAATGTCTATTAGCCTGATTTTCCTCTTTTCCTTCTTCAGAAATCTAGTTCACATGATTGAACATGCACAGAAAGAGCTTCAGAAGTTACGGTGAGTTGGTTTTGTTCTTTCTCTATTTTAGAATCCAGCTGAGGTGAACCCTTATGGTGGGGGGGCAATAAAACCGCGCTCGTGAAAGTGAACAACTCATCCGCCTTTTCTCCAGCACCTCACGCTAAATTTGCCGTCTGAAAAAAGGAAAAATAGGCTAAGGTTCAAAAACATCTCTTCCAAATATTTTTAACTTCCAAGGCTGCAGATAGAGAAAAGTCACTTTTGAGGGAGCGGAAAGGAGGGGGGACATTGTTGAATGACTCGCACATGTAACCTGATTTATGCAGAAAACCCCGTGTCTGTATATGCCTGCGTACGGGAACAGCTCAGGGAGGATGCCCACTTGTCTTCATTTTGTTTTGCTAGTAAGACAATACCGCAGGCCAGGCGAGTGTTGAGAGTTCCCAGGGTGAGGGGCTGCGCAGGTGGGCCTCCGTGCTGGCACCGTGCAGTGTGGTGCAGGGCATCCCAGGCGAGCGCCAGAGCGCTGCATGTCTGCGCAGGAGTGTTCTGGTCTCTTGCTGTCACTGAAAAACCACATTAGAAAACCACCGGAATTGACTTGTCTAATGCTGCCCACTCCCGAAAGACCCACCATATCTGGTGGGGTTGGACTAATCTTCCACCAGAGTAATGCCTCAGGTGGGTTTTAGAGGGGAAAAACTACATGCAAAGAACAGTGCCCTCCAGAAACTCATGTGTGAGAAGAGGGAGTTCTGATTTGAGAGGTACATGCATGGTGGTGTTTTGTTGGTTTTTTTTTTTTTTCTTTTTGGCAGAACCAGAGATTGAACTCAGGCCCTTGTGCTTACCAGGCAGGCGCTTATTCCACTGAGCCATCTCTCCGGCCCCATGTACATGCATGTTTGGTTGTGGGCTTTTTTTGTGAGGGGTAGGGGTAGCTTTTTCTCTTTTGGCAGTACAGGGGATCGAACTCAGGACCTTGTACTTGCCAGGCAGATACTTAAGCCGCTGAGCTATCTCCCAGCCTAGATGTGGGTTATTAAAAATTCTATGCTGGGGGCTGGTGAGATGGCTCAGTGGTCTGGAGCACCTACTTGGAACAAGCTCAGCGAAGCACAGGGACCGCGGTTCGATCCCCCGGCACCACATGCCAGCCAGCCCCGCCCCCTGGTGGGCTGAGCTGGCCACACACACACACATACACACACACACACACACACATATAAATAAATAAAATTAAAAAATTCTATGCTGTTTGGTTGTACTGGGGAGCAAACTCAGGGCCTCATGCCTGTAAGGCAAGCATTTGCCCACTGAATTATATTCTCTCCCTTTTTGAAAATTCTAGCTTGAGGCAGGATCTCACTCAGTTGCCAGACTGCCCTCTAATCTGCAATCCTCCTGCCTCAGCCTCCAGATTAGCAGGGCTTACAGGTGTGCATCACTGTGCCAGTTTGAGTGGTTTTGTTTTGTTTTGTTTCTTTCTCACAGTGAGCACATTTTCTGAAATTTGTAATTGAAAAGATAATTAGAAGAAAGTTAATTCCTAGAATTATTCTACAATTGTGTATATATCTGTTCTAAGGAGATTAAAAGTACTATCTGGTATTGAATTTTTGTTGAATTTAGTCTTGTGTTAAAAATGTCGTTGGATAAATGTAAATGCCTTTTTATAGGAAACATATTCAAGACTTAAACTGGCAGCGGAAGAACATGCAGCTCACAGCTGGATCTAAACTGAGAGAAATGGAGTCAAAGTGAGTATCTGTAATGCCATCATATTTTGAACTGCTGTTTCCATTCGAAGATCAGAATTTGATAAGATTCAGTCAGTATTCAGGGGGGTGCCGCAGGTGTCAAAGAACTGTTCTCTTCATTTTTTCTCTTGTGTTACTAAAACGTGAACCCAGGGCCTTCATACTGAGCTTCTTGCCCAGTGCCACCCCACCCCTCTTGAGGTAGGGTCTCACTAAGTGACAGAGTTGCCGAAGAAGGGTTCGAGCTTGTTACACTCCTACCTCAGCGTCCCAGAATACTGAGATTACAGGCTGTTGTTGTTTTTTTTTAAGCAGAATAAAAACTTTAAAGGATAATACAAACCACATGGAATTTCAAAACAAGATGATAAGAGATTAACCGTGGTCATTATATTGTATATTGTTATCTTCAAATCAGTTGTTTAGCTTACCAGATACACGTAAGCAAAACTGATCAAATATTCACTACTCCTTTCAATAAACCAATAGAGGGGCTGGTGAGATGGTTCAGTGGTCTAAAGCACCTACTTAGAACAAGCTAAGCTAAGCAAAGCAAAGGGACCGCAGTTCAATCCCCAGCACCACATGCCAGCCAGCCGCGCCCCCTGGTGGACTGAGCTGGCCACACACACACACACACACACACAAAAAAAAAAAAAATTAAAAAAAAAAAAACAATAGAAAATAGTAATACAGGAGCCGAGGAGATGGCTCAGTGGAATAAGCGCTTCCCTGGCAAGCGCAAGGGCCTGAGTTCAATCCCCGGTTCCGGAAAAAGAAAACAGCAATACAGTATCTTAGCTATCTTGTAAATATATGTATTTTTTCCCTTTTTTTTCTTTCCTCCTTTCTCAGTTGTTCTTTCCTTTTAAGCAGTGTCTTTCCCTTTCACAATATCTGTTACACCTTTTGGATCTTGTTTGTTCAGTTTCTTATACTAGGGAGACAATACCATGTCTACATATGTGGGTCTGCTTTACTTCACTTATGAGCATGGTCTCCAGTTGCATGCATTTACCTATAAAAGCACAGGACCAGGGAGACAGCTCAGTGTAGAATAAGTGCCTGCCTGGCAAGCTTAAGGTCCTGAGTTCAGTCCCCGGTACCGCACCAAAAAGAGAAAAAAAAAAGCCTCGAGTTTAGCTTTATAGCTGAGTACTACTCCATTGTATAAAAAAATCACATCTTTTTTATCCATTCCTCAGTTAGTGGGTATTTGGGTTGCTTCCGAGATTTAATTACGATAAATTGTTCTGCTGTAAATGTGGGTGCACATAGGATGTTTTCATTTCTTGTGGGCAGATACCCAGAAGGGGACTAGCTGGGTTGAATGGGACTTCGAATCCTAGTTTTCTGAGAAATTTTCTGATTTCCATAGTGGTTGTACCAGTCTGCACTCCTACCAACAGTGGAAAAGGTTTTTATTTTCCCCCAAAGCTCTTTGTTTTGGTTAATTTCTTGATGGTAGCCATTCCTTCGGGGGTGAGGTAGAATCCTGGTGTTGATTTAATTTGCATTACTTGAATAATCAGTGATTTCTGAGCCTTTTTTATATATTTATTTGCATTTGTATTTCCCATCTGAGAGCTGAGTATTCATCAGAGGTGCCCATTTTGGGGCTGATTTTTTTAATATACATACTTTTATTACAAATTTTTTAAAAATGCAACATCCTGAACAAACCAAAACTTACTTTTGGTACTAGTTCCTACAGATTTGTTGTGCTACCATACACATGAAAGAAACCGTTAAGTATTTAGAAATGCTCAGCATCAAAAGCTTTAAAATCTAACTGTACGTAGTAGCCCCTCAAAAAGCAACAACTTTTACAACTTTTTAAATTTTTTTAAAAGTGTTTTTTCTTCAAAGAATTTTGTTAGCTTTACAAAAATGCATAGTTTTATGCTACAGCTAATGTTGAGCTGCACTTGAGCACACCCACACGCCACATGACGGGACAGCCACTTACCTTCCTCCTCCTCCTCCCCCTCCCCC